AGTTTTGTGTGTTTTGAACGGCCCCCCCCCCCCCCCCAAAAAAAAAAACCCAACTTCCTAAGGAGCATTAGTGTCATCGATAGAATAGGTTAGGGTAAACTCCGAGAAATCACAGGTCGGTTGCCAGTCAGAAGTGATCGCCTGTTTATCGGTCACACAACCAGATACCCCTAAAAAGGTAACTATTCGATAAACTCCAGCAAACACATTTGTCTCAGAAAACTGAGATAAGGGCATCCAGGTAACCTCGCTAAATTTACTTTCAAAAATCTGTGGTCCCGGAACATCGCTGTCCTAATGTCAGTTCCACACCGGAACCATACATACATCCCTGTTGCGAAGCGGATAGCTTACAACGATCCCGTAAGAATTGCATCCAAACAGAAAACATCACATATCCTCTCCTTAATACAGCTGACAGAGGACAGTTCTGGGCCAACCAGTAAAGTGATCTCGTTTTAAAGGAGCATCCCATGAGCTGAGAGCTGTGGATTTACCGTATTGCGATGCGTGACCTAGAATTGTTGAGTGATACCGCCAGACCCGTACGTCTGAGAAGTAGTGTGAAACGCACACACGCATATACCAAGAGATGTCCCCGAAGAGACGGAACATTGGCTTTCCTCATCAACCACGAAGCTAAGTTCCCATTCTATGTGAGGGAGGGTTGTCAGGTTTCGCCACCAAAAATATTGCTGATTATCATAACAACACAACACCAGCTTTGATGTGACACCCACATTATGCCATTGAGTTTTTCGAGTAAGTCTCAGAGGAACATATATGTAGCTGGCCAAGTATGCTAAGGCTTTGACACTGATTGCGGTTTCGTAAACTAATCACCGGACTCGGCTAACAGATAAAGGATCAATAGGCACAATCGAGTTGCCCATATTTCAAAACTGATGAAATGCGTTGCAAAGTCTGCTCCACCCAAGTACTGTCCACAAGTATTCCACAAAACATGATGCCAATTACAAGAACAGACGTTCCATCATTAATGTTAGGAACAACAACTCCACATACAAAACCCACATCACTATAATTTGCCACACCTGAAAGTTAGTGCATCTTCGCAAGGTTCCCAGACTGGGTTGTGCCTTACGGTAAATTAGTGTTGTAGGCAAGTGATAGTTCTTGGAAAGGTACTGTGACCAGAAAGTTGAAGAAACAGCGGAAAGTGCAGAGAAGGAGCCACTCACCTCGCATGGCTGCATATCCACTGATCTACGATCGCGATACCACCAGGACCGAGAGCGACCCATCGCTCCGGAGTAGGTTCGAACCGAAGCAGTTTCACACGTTCCAAATGAGTGCCCAGCTCATCAATATCTGAAACAAGCATTGAAAAATCAAAATTACCTGAAGAACAGGACAGAAAGTGACGATTACAATTCAAACTATGTACTGAAGGGTGGCGTACTTTTCCGGTTCCTGACTCTGACCGATTGCGACACCAACTCATAAAACGTCGTTACCTTCCTAAGTTGGAAAGGTGTGGTCTTACATGTCCTTTTCATGGAATAAGCAGACGAAGGCGAGTTTATGAACCATGGATAGGCAAGTGGCCCAGCTTTCGTAAACGGTCGATCGGTACAAGTTGCTGATGTACACTTTGATCAGACACAATAATAGCGCAGTTGCTTTGCCAGCCTACGTTCTGTACGAGTGCACCTCGGAACAAACATATGAAAACTGTGCGGTAAAACATCAGTACTCTGGAACTAAACTGAAAGGTTGAACAAAATGGCGATTGTAACCAACGGTGCGAAGTTGCATTGTTTAGCAAGCACTTTGAAGCACGCCCTAGTAGCGCAGTCGGTTAGCGCGTCAGTCTCATAATCTGAAGGCCGTGAGTTCGAGTCTCACCTGGGGCAGGACCTTTTGTCTCAATCCAAACTCGGTGGATTGGCACCCTCAGTGGTGAGTCCCTGACGGAATGGAGTCTCACAGCTCAAAAGCCAAGTAGCGTTCTATTAACTCTCACTGATGCAAAGCACTCCATTCGACCGAAGACTTGCAACCCGGTCAACATTTTGGTGAGTTACCGACAACGCCGAATCACATTTTCAGCGCAAGGCTGGAACTTCCGAACGTGAGCTATTGTCAAGGTAGAGCGCATTTCTGGGTCTGCCTAAAAACTATCTGCCACGGTACTCACGAAATGGTTGGTTCGAACCCCAGTGAACTGGCGCGCGATACTAATTTTTGAACGTCTCGAGCAAACTTCCACAGTGGCACGGGGCTTGTGCCAGAGGGGCTGCTAAAAAATGGGCATCCACATCGGTGCAGCTACGGAAAGATTCATGCAGATTGCGCGGAATTGATATCAGTGATGTATCTGCTGCTGTTGCGTTGCTGACGCTATCTCCAGAGAAGGTAGGTGTGCCTCTGCCCGCTTCTAGCCAAACTAAATTAGTCTTCTGCGATGAGGTACACGCTAAGTTACATGCTTCTGCGTTCCGCAGACTCATGGCATTTGTTTATCGCAGTCGACTTTTTCGGACTGAATGTGCCCGCCACACCTTGACCATGTAGTCAGCGTTCTCGTCAAAAGTATTCATCCACATAGCAGGCGATCACTTCCATCTGTGTACCTCCCTTTTTCTTGATCTGATTATCTACACCATCGACTTTTTCCTCATATCATTAAGCCAGCGTGAGCCGGACACGAGGGTAGCTCGGAGCACTACTGTAAATACAAACTATCCACAGATATTGCAGTATCATCTATGTGTACGCCAATTTCCTCATCGAAAGGATATCTGGACGACCTCGAGTCTGGAGTTCCAATGACAGACCCCAGCGACTCAATAATCGTTGCAGCCACATCCACAGGCGGTAATGCTGTCCCGTTGGTAAACAGTAGGCGCCTGGTCTCTGTGGCCAGTACTGATGCCACAATCGTAGATTCAGTGAGATAAACTGAGAATCGCAGCTGATGAGGAGCCCTAACTACTGGCAACTACACAAACAACGAAGACCACGTCATACTGAACGCCACACGTACAACTTTGACTTCAAGTTCCCAAGGGAAGTTTTGGATTCGAACTCTATCTGACGACATTCAGACGACATTTGAAAACAGTTAGTTGTCTAAGGAAGACAAACGCATTAGTCCGATACTACTAGCCAATAAAGCCTCAGCAGAATGGAAAGAGGAATAGGACATTTTCCGGGAAATGAGAAGGCAGAATTTTTTCCGAGCAGTAGTTTGGAACACTTGTTCGTACTCACACTATTCTCGTTTGAACGGTCTTCCTGCAGTCCTTGAGCGACTATTCTAGTGAGTCGGTACCAAAGGGAGGAAATACTGGACCCGAGTTTCGCTCTCGCTGGAGCTCACCGGCAGTGTATATCCTTACCCGAGCGGGGATTTGAATCCTAGACGACTGACACGAGAGGCGGGTATGACACCATCATTCGACCAATGCCCGTTGGATACACATGAGGTATCACTGCTGGACAGGCGAGCGTGTTCAAACATCAAAGCTATGGTTGGTTCGCCCAACAGACCCAGTAAGCATCCCGATTGTGACCGACCCATCTTTCAGGACTTCCCAATCAGACGGCGCCAGTTGAGCGCTGAGCACTGATGTCATGCTGTCGATGATGATTAGTTGTAGGCGGTTGCGGTTGCCAAAGCAACAAACTGCTAACTGACTTCAATAAGAACAACATTGCAATCCATCGCTTACTCTGGTGTAGCCTAACCAAAGTAACTGCGCAGGTAGGAGGAGAACTGTTCGAACTAGAGGAATGTGACTATAAATTCTAGAAATCCCATAAATAACCACGACCAACATGTCATTGCTATATACGGACTGTATGAAGTCTGCCCCGGAAGTCAACTAGCGAAATACACTTCGTGACAGTTTCACGGTTGGTTAACCTTGAGAGTGGTGCCATCAGAGGAGGACACAAACGGCCGTCTTTGGATATTTATATGATGCAGCACTGTCGATAAGGCTGCTGAAAACTTCGACGGCATGCTAACGGCCTCGCCTTTCAACGAATAGGTGTAGTCCCCGAGTTCCCAACAATCTTATTTTGTAACTGAATACTAAATTGAACGTAAGTGTGGTCAAAAACTAATCTGAAACATGAGTCGGCCTGTGTGCAGCACATTCAGTTGTAGAATAGCATAAACGAGAGGTCGAGTTGAGTCTCCCGTGAAAAATAAATTGATTTGCAAATGAATGGATTTCTCGAAAACAAGTCAAGTAGAACATAAGGTTGACGGAAACTCGGGGACTGCGCCTACCTGATGAGCCCCAATAAGGGCGAAACCGGTCGTGGGCTGTCCAAGAGTTTTCAGCAACCTTGTGAACAGTTTCCTCTATGACAATAATCTGCAGATTAATTTTTTCAACGAAGAACTTGAATGAGTTTCTCGTCCATTACGTTCTTGCCCACTGAGAACGTTTGCCTTCGATTAAGACGTGATGCAAGTCCAGTTTCGGTTCTATGTTTCGTGGAAATAGGCCTGCGACGTCTGAGAAAGTGCAAATATTTACAATGGGATCACACACACGACGAGCTTCCTAAGAGTTTTCTTAATTTTTATCACGGTGTTCACGTTCGTGGAGGATAGAGGTGGTCATTATCTGAAGAAAGATGGTGGAGTAAAAGCTGACGAAGAGGACAGTCACTGCACTGTGTTATTATTAACCTTTAGGGTATCCTTATTTGCTCGCACGGTCATTATGGGATCATCCCGATCTCCTCTTCTCTACCACAAGAAGATGAAATGAAACCGCCCTCCCAAATTAGATCGGTTAGGCTGTCCTCCTGAATGTTCCTTGTTCGTGGGGACTGTATTGCTTATCACATTAACCAATTGTTTCCGTAACTCCATCTTAAGCTCGTCATCGGGTGTCCACTCGTGTTAATGGTCCAGCTCGGTGGATATATCTTCAGAGGAGCAAATCTACCGAAGGTGGCAGATTGGACTTCACAATCTTACCACACGGCTGCCGTCATTTGGTGACCAGGTTTATCTGATGCGGAGTCAGTCCTGCTAGAGTAGAACGATAGTTACCGCTTATGGCTCAATCTCGCACGAATCCGACTAAAAATTCTTGAGGGAGGTTCAAAATTCAAACTTTGTTTACCACACCCTATCTAATGAAGCTCCAACCCAAGCACACGCAGAGTAAATTTGATTTGGTTCTGGCGATTGGAAAAACAGACGTACAGCAGTCATTTTATCACCTATCTACCGTGAATGAAAAGCTCGATCAAGTTCTACCCTATCAGCAGATTGCAAAACGTACAAACTATTGATGTGGGCATTAGCTTAGCCGAAACGAGTTCAGTTTTCTGATGTACACGATTCGGAACACGTACCGTTACTTGACTAAGTACTGGTGAGATCGCCCAAAACGGCCACGAAACGGTTGCGCCAAATTTACCAAACAACCAACAGCTGGACTTTCTGAGTAACCGACCGTCTCCAGTATATGAAAGCGTTTTGTGTACGTACCAACGGCAAGTGGAGAAGACTCAGGCTACAAATCAGCCACCGAGTTAAAGAGAAACGATGATGGAGACTTTTCTTGCCTAACCGCATTGGATGTAGTGGGAGATTGCCGAAGACATGTGCGCGTCCATGGGAAGGGGCATATAGAGCCTTTATAAAAGCGAAGAATCCAAAAGAGATGTCTTTTACTACCAGACGCTCCTAGTTTCCGACGACCAACGGAGTTAGAAGCAGCTTGCAGGTCAATAAAAACTATCTTTGTTGGTCGTTGAAAAGTGATGAGTGTACAGCATTTGTCGCAAAGTGAAGGTATGATCGACGCAACCCAATTGGATTCCTGTGAGTCAAAGAAACAACTGAAATTTCCGCAGAATCAACTTCTTATGATAGCCAAAGAAGATTCAACGAACACATTCAAACGCGAAATATCGCCCAGACACCAGGAAACCAAAGTCAGACCACTTCCATTTAGGTTTGGTTCTCTGAACTAACCAATAATCAGAACTAAGGTACAGCAAACTATATGGTCCCCCCCCCCCCGAGACAATAAGCGCTTTCGGCTGATCCGACGACGTCCGCTTATGTAACTGGGCCGACCAGGGAAAACTATGCATTCGGGATGAGAACAGTAGCGGATATTTCACTGTTTCCAAACCTACCGATGATGGCATAAGCACAGGCGAAAATGTTCGGTTTATGCCTGCGCATAGTTGAACTTGTTTTCCCACACTCCTCTTCACCATTCTTTGCCGAATGGTGAGGGAACTCAAGCTACATAAGCGTTATCCTGTTAGATGAACCATATTTCCAAATCAGTGGCTGGCTGGTTGCTTCTTTCTCGCCTTTCCAA